GAGAGAGGGGGGACTAATTTAATCGGGAAAGAGAGATTTACCGGCGCGCGCGCGCCGTCCCGGTGTGTTTACTTTAGGCGGCGCTTTATTTCCCCGCGATTATATTGATTTACGAGAGGCGCGCTGAAAAGAATCGGGATCCTACGCAACACCTCGTCTATTACGGAGCCGTGGGATTCGGCCGGTGGTTAATTAATATCGACTGCGCGGATCCGAAAACGCTAATTCGCCGCTTCAACTTGCCGGCGGAGACTCGCTCCGATTAATCGCTAATTGCGACGATCATCTCTCTACGAAGACAAGCCACGGCGCTCTGACGTGGGCCAGCTACGGCTTAATAACAGGAACCGATCCGGAGGAATTTCAGACGGTGGCCGAGCGTGGTTATTAAGTATCGAAAGGTTATCCGATCGACCCCCGATACACGGCGGCTGACTCGGATTCAACAACATTCTTATCCATCGATCAAATCCCGCGCTTCGCGCCGGCCGACCGGTCAGACTGCACCCATAAATCGCGGCTCGAGATTTTCTCCGGACCGCAATGAAAGCGTATCATGAAAACGCGATCGATCTCGAGTTAAATAAACCGCGTCTCGAACTCTGGCCGATACTTTTGCCGAATCTCGCCGACGCCCACGAAGAGTCAAATCAGAGAGCGCTTGAATTGCGCGTGAATCGCGACTGTTGATGCACTTCTTTCTCTTTCTTTCTCTCACTTTCAGCGATGCTCATCCCGGACATATGATATTCGACGGGTGATATCGAGTAGGATCGTAAAGAACATAATTAAGAAGGAACAACTCGCAAGTGAGGAAGAAACGGCCGGGGCTTAAAAATATATCAGTCGGCCCGGACGGACGGAACTCTCTTTCTCTCTCTCTCTCTCTCTCTTTCGTTTTCGTTAACGAACGTACGGTGGAGTACACAAGACTGCTGCTATAAATTGAATCACGATCGAAAGGAATAAGCATCCGAGCCCCTGATGATTTGTCCGGAAGCAACAGTTCGCTCGCTCGCTTGCTCGTATTTCGCGTTGCAATCAGCGTCTGTTTGTTCCACCGAGAACAACGCCAAGTCGTAGCAACGGTCACACACGTTCATTTGGCATTTATCAGAGAAATTCTCGCTTGACGACAATGATAAAACACTTAAATATTATTTCACAGTTGGGAAACGCGGTCTGCTCGTCGAATTCTTTAAGGGAAGACTAGGGGCTGGATGTCCTATATTTTCAAATTTCGAAGTTACAACTTCTCGGACAACTAATTGTCGCGTTTGTACAAACATGATAGAGATAACCTTTTTCTGTGTGTCAATATCCACCATGATTCTGTTAACTGTGTATTTTGTTCTGTAATAACCAAAACCACAAACATGTAGCAACGTAGCTACTTTGCCCTGATCCAATTGCCTAGTAGCGCAGGGTAAGAAAGCTGTATATGATAAAAAATCGTGACAGACGCCCGATAGCTTCCACTACTGAAACTAGGCGCTGATCACCACAGCCTTAAATACGATCCAACTTCATTCCAGCCGTCCATATGCTCAATTTCGGTCATTTCATGAATGAAAATCGTATTTATTACCCGAAACAGTACATCACACACTTGCGAGAAACATTCTAGCTATTTAAGTAACACGTCGCTTTATTTAAACTTGACTCGTTCACGATGGGAAATATTGATAAAAAAATTTCGGGAGTCTCGAAAATTTACTTTACTACTACTAGACCGGTTTTTTTTAACTGTAATATTATTCTGATTTTAATAACACTCAGGCAAAAGTATTTATGTTCTAAAAGGATCATTTCGCATTTTCGTATCCTGTTGTTCCTTTCAAGATATACGTGAGATCACATGAGCAACATACCCCTGAGGTCAACTAGCTCCTGTCTCCCCTACCGGTCGGCAAACTCGGAAGTACAAAGCGCTTCATAAGTAATTAATCTGTCGATTTTCAACCTACCAGAGGGTATATCGATACATTCATTACGCGCACGTTCTCACTACTTTAATTTAAAGCGAAGCTTCTCTCTCTCTCTCTCTCTTTGGCTCTCCCCCTTTGGGCAGCCCGGCTACCCTTCCCCCCGTAATCGATTATAGCGCGCCACTAATTTGTAAGAGAGCAGGTATAAATCGCGACTGCAGCTAAGCGGAATACGAGCGACGTCAGCAGTATCCGCGAGCGAGAGAAAAAGGAGGACGAAGAGAGAGCGTCGGAAGCGCCGGGGAAAAAAGTCGCGGTAACGAGTGCCGGTCGCAAGCGGGAAGTAAGGCACGCTCTCCTCTTCCCCCCCGGGGGAGAGGAGGAAACAGAGGGAAAGAGAGAAAAAGAGAGTTCGACACGTCGGATTATTGGGTCGAGAGAATCCATGAGAGCGGGTGGATCGTTAAAATTGCAAGCTCGATTCCACCCTTGGCCGTTCACGCCACATCTCTCTCTCTCTCTCTCTCTCTCTACCTGTCTTTTCTCCACTCTTAGACGCGCTTTCAATTATTCCGTTATGTTTCCGAGGCGTCGCGAGGAAGACGCGCTCTCCCGACGGCGTGCTCGAGTAGACGAAGTTACGGCACGATTCTCCTTGCCGAGGCACTTGGCCAAGCTGCTCGAGAAGCTCGATGGACGAGCGAACGAGCGAGCAAAGTCACGGGGACAGTGACTTGTGAATCCCCCCGGTGATTTCTTTCTCTCGTTGAACTTGGTCGAAATTAAGCGAGCCCTAAACCCAATTTAGCGCGTAAGTCCGGCCACACACGCGAATCCGTCGAGATTCTCCTTTTGCCTATCGAGACTTCCCGACGGAGTTCCTCCGCTTGTGAGAGAAGTTCGACGAATCGAGAAATCGAAACCTCGCAGGAATGACGAGTGTAGCTACACCCACTCTGTGATTATTTTTTATAATTGAGAACATTATCTCAATTGACAATGCCATACAGGGTGTCCCGAAATTAGACCGGCAAATTTTGAGATTACAAAGAACACTAAATAAAACAAGTAATTTTTATCAATAAACCCATAACCGAGGCATAAAATTAAGCTTCTGCAAAAGTAAAGTTCGCCTTGAAATTGATTTGAAGAAAACAATTTTGTCATTGATTCGTTATCGGTCGTTCGAAATTTAGTTTCCGAAAAGCCTCGCTTCCTCGATCGCTTGTGTCGCAGAAACCATCGATATTCTCGTACGTGAACCTTTCATCTTGCGATATCCCAGAGAATCTGTCGTATTAAAGACACGCGTTGATTTTGGAACGTCTATATATAATCGTGAAGATAAGCTTGGGTTTACGTTGCCCCGCGTTTTCACGTGGGAGGCTCCGCGTTCTGAGTCACGACGGGTCCTCCGGATTTCGTCTCTCGTCACAGTGCTCGGTTGGCGACGCAATAGCAGCACGCTGAGAATTGAGCGCGGAAACGAGAGGAGAAGTCGAGGACCGTCGTCCGATAACGAAGACGAGCCCCTCGAGGCATCTTCCTCGGTGGGACCGGATGAATAAACTCGGGACTAATTACCGTGATAAGTGCGGAAGAAGCACGCTCCGTTGTTCCGCGAAGGAACGAGTACCTGTGATATTAACGAGTGGCGGGTGGCCGCGCTCGATGCTTCAATCGCATGGAATGCCTTGAAATATCTGCCGCGCAGTTCCCCGGCGAGAGATGTAATATGGACGGGCGCGAGAGAGGCTCGCCTCGCACTTGCGCCGCGTCGGCTGGGCGGGACGTTTATTACCTCGCAGCAATGCGTAATTAAAGTAGAATAGATGGCATTTGAGGCATTCCCCGGCCGGCGGGATGAATGCCGCCCTCCCGAGCGAAGGAGCGTCGTGATTCAGTCGCCCAGTCAACGCTTATTAATCTATTCGCGCGAACGTGTGTTTAGTTCTGCATAGCTGTAATAGCCGGCGTTCCTTCGAGTGGTCATTAATACTCGCATAAGCAAACTCGTGTGCGCGTATGCAAAAATCAACTTGGGGCATTTGCATCGCGCGAGGGAGGCGAACGATCGCGATCGGAAGACGAATCAATATTCGAAGCGCGTGCTTGCCTCCTCGTCTCTGAAGGCCTCGTGGAAAATTGGAGGATATAAATGTCCTCTTCCGGGAAAAGATCTTCTCACACGAGCATCTTCCCTTGTATTTCCGTTTCGGTATATTGTTGATCGGCTCTTTGCAACTTTTGTCCTTGGTTTTTGCCATTGTACAACGCCAAGATACGAGATAACTCGTGGACCAGCCAACGATATGTTCGATTGACAAATCATCATCTCTTTATATTTCTAATCTTTTATATCGCGATATCGATAACTCCAACTAGAATTAATACAATTAAATGTTCCGACAAAATCCTTAAAACATTGCCCAGTTTTTTCTAATTGAACATCACTGAGTTTTATAATTTAATTTCACACCAATTGCCATTTTTAATTAAACAGATTGCGCGTGATTGCTAATTCATTCTCAGTTCCCAGTAGACCATTTTCATGGAACGTCATCCGCTTCAAACGTGTTATTACGCGCGTGCGATCTTGCAAGCCTAACGTATGTTTCCACTCTATCTTATATCATATATTTATCTTATTTCACACTGATTTCCTATTTTCTTTCTTTATAATCTCACCTTTCTTTCTAATATTTGCTCGTCGAAATATCTGTACGATATTTACTTAATTACGCACGCTAAAGAGTTATCCCCGTGAATAAAGGACCCTTATTATTATGAAGACGCGAGTTTCCTCGTGACCGGACGAAAGGCGCGTCGATAGGGAAAGGTGCGAGGAAGCGCGAATGAAGCGGCCCGATAATATCCGCGAAGCGATCGCCGAACTAATCGCGATTACGACTCGGCTCGAAGCGCGAGAAAACCGCGCGAATACGAGCGGAATCGCGTGAGGAAGAGGGACGGCAGGAAATGAAAGGAAATAGCGGTCGTAAAATAACGCGGCCCGCCTGTCGCACTGTCTTGTACGCGCCGACTCTGAAATTACCGCGTTACCTGTTCCAGTGTGCAACTGCAACCTCCACGCGAGAAAGTGCAGATTCAACATGGAGCTGTACAAGCTGTCGGGCCGCGTCAGCGGTGGTATTTGTCTGCAGTGCCGACACTCTACCGCGGGAAGGCACTGTCATTATTGCAAAGAAGGTTACTACAGGGACCCGGCGAGACCGATCACGCATCGCAAGGCCTGCAAACGTAAGTATGCCGCCACCGCCATCCCGTGGCCGCCATGCGCAGCAATTACATGTAAATCCACACAGAGAGACATTGGAACAGGCGCGCGCGCGCCCGACGAGTAATTACGCGCGTCGAGTAACCTCTCGCGATTACTCGCGTACCTCGGCACGCTTAATTACGGAAGTGCCGTCGAACCCCCAGTCGGCCCCTTCGTCCGCGCGCGCTCGGATTAGTAGGCGACGATAATGGCCTGTGGGATTTCTAATTCTTCACGCGACCGTTGTACGCGCGGTAAAGCGCTAATAACGAGCGGGCCCGCTCGTCGGGGGTTAATTAGCGGCTTGTGTCACGCTTTCTCTGTCCGCGCGCGGATCGATTCGCGCTGCCTCGACCCGCCGACGCGATTCCGCGCGCGCGAGAAGTCTCCCCCTTTTCCGCCGTTTCCCGCGAAATCTCCGGTCGGCGCGACACCGTCGCTTTCGAGCCGGGGGACGTTCGTCGTGTGGAACGATGATAAAAATCAGAGTCGAGCGCGAAATTCTATCTAATAACGCAATACGCAACGCGCGAAATTCGTTTCATCTCGCGCACCGTCGCTCCGCCTGGAGCTCCGAGGGAAAACCGAACTGAAATCCACGTAGAGCCGACTCTTGATCAACCAATTCCGAAATGTCGACGTTAAAAGATCAGGAGACCACCGGAACAACAATCGGACATTTTTTCACCGGTGCATTAGATCACAAAATACTATGTGATATTAAGGTATGCGCATGCCTCTTCTTAATTATTATGTGTATCTTGATATATTTAAAAATTATTCTTGAAATAATAGTAAATAATATCGAAGTAAAATAATATTATTTTAATCTTATTTGTTATTTTCAAGAGATTTTAATCATAATAAGGTAATTAAATGAAAAGATATGGATGAATAAATTAGATACGCGTAAGTAAGTAAGTAATGAAGAACGCCTAAAGGCGCTGCTCGTAGTACGCAATGAACGAATAGCGTCGGATAGATGCTATTCGTACACGAGGATTTCCGGTCTGAAGCCGACTCCACAGTGCGTGCATCACGGGTGTTATTATATTATATTACGTTATATCATATGTGATATTATATTACATATGTTATATTTATGCAAGATATATTCGATAATTTCCTCGGGATCCGGTAGTGTGCAGGTAAAACTGAGCAGGAAAGTGATGTATCATTTTGCAAAATTTGCAATAGTTAATGAGAAATTGATTAATCTGCGTGAGCTAATGAAAAATGGCTTACTTCAGAAAATCTTTCAGCAACGATAAGCATCGACTAATTTCCAGAGGCGGAGTAACGCGGCGAACGGCATGTGACACGGGATTGCATATCGAAAAGAAGCACGATTCTCGCTATCAGTTGATATCCATCGTTGCTGGGACATCTTCAGAAGTTTCCTTTTTTTTATACGGAGTCCGGCCTTCCCGTTCGCTCATTAGTTGATACAAATTAATGAATTCCTCCTTAACTATCGCGAATTTTGCAAAATGGTACATGACTTTTCCGTCCAATTTCACCTGCACGCCAAGGATCCCGAGAAAATGATCGGACACTTTGCACGTCACGTATGTTATATTCGCCCAACGCACGTGATCGATATAATTGCTAACGTTCGCCTACATTTGCCACATTTTGGGGAGCCGGCTTGACGCCTATAGTCGGCCTTTAATCACGTTAATCTAAAGATTAACACGAACATTTCAGTACAATCTATTATTATAGCATATTATCACATTTAACATTACTTCTTTTTCGTTAATTTTCGAAAAAATTGCGCCCCACCCGAGTCCTTTCGGCACGAAAATCAGAAAGTCTCGCGAACTTCTCCGGAACGCGTGCGGGAATCGCAGCGATCCACGATGGGGGATCTTATCGGGAATGAGCGGGCTAATCACGGCCGGGAAAGAAGGACGCGGGAAGGACGAAGGAAAAGCGGGAAAGGAGGCGTCCGACTGCTCGGATCGGGTCAAGCGCCTCTTGGCAGCCGCGTGTGTTGGCGACGCTATCGTAGAGAGCCATTACCATTCGTCTCAGTCCCCGGTCACGGCGCTGTTACAAAGTGGTTACCAGCTGAGCAACCCCCTAATCTCGGCGCGTTCAATTTATGTACGTTTGTCTAGGCCCACGGACCGCCGCGGGGATAACGATCTCCCGGTGTGAGAAAGCGCGCATGCCGTCATTGCATTCACGAACGCATCGCCGGCGTCCGTCGCGCGTTTTAAGCGAGCGCATCCGCGAACAACGCTTTACACACCGACTCGTAACCGGAGGTAGGTAGGTAAGGCGAGAAAAGATCCCGTTGTTGCCCGGACGTCGGTCCACCGAGACGCAGGAATACCGGACGCAGAGCCGGACGTGATAAATCGAGACGCGCGTCCCGAAAGCGCCGAGGAGAAGGAAGATCTTCGCGATGAACCCGGGAACTCGCGGCGAATCACTCTTCCGCCCGTCCGTGCGTTCGGACGACTTCCACCGCCGTCTACCGTCGATTCATGTTCGTAAGAATCTACGCGTAACGTCCTCCTCTTCGTCGGATCGCGCCGATCTGTGGAGTCGCCGCGTGGAATACGCGATATCGGCGATGATGAACGACGCCGCTCGTCCCCGGGTATTCGTATTGTTACGCCGTCTCGGGACGTGCGCTACGTTAATAAAGAAAATCAATCTTCGTTCGAAGAGCCGTTAATTACGCTGATCAGTCTCGGGAAAGCGATCTCTAAAGCCGTGCCTGCATTAGGTGCAGTAAGCCTCAAGCCGTGAAAAATTGACCAATCACAATCGATTATTCTTCTCACATTCGACTGTGACTGGTCATTTTCTTACGGGTTAAAGCTTACCGCGCCTATTACGGACGCCGCTTGAGACGCAGCTTCTTGCTACGTTCTCTCTCTTCCTCCGGTCTCTTCTTCTCTCCGTCACACGATCGTTTATCTCTCGTTAAGACGTCCCCCCCTCCTCCCCCTGCGTAATGTCCGCGCGAGATGTCGAGCGCCGCTTCTGGCGGCAGCACCGTCGCGCTTCTTTACGACCGCGAGACTTTTCGCGGGATTCCGTCGTTAGGTATTCACCCGGTGGACGAGTCCCGCGCGATTAACTATGTATGTCACTGGGCGTATCCTCGAATGCGGGGGGACTACTTGTCGCGACGTTAATTAACTCCTCGTGGCCTGGCGCGTCTTTAACGGGTCGGCCCGGGGCGTTTACGCGCCGAGGACCAGTTGTAAAAAGGAGAAATACGCGCGCGAACGCCCGGTAAAAATTCTACCTGAGTGCCGCGTTCTCTCGCGCGGTTCGAAGGTGTCGCGGCTGTGTAATTCGGCTCGTCCGGCAAACGGCGCCGTAAAGTATCCCGTACCACCGGCGGCTTTTTTTTCCTTTCGGGACCGCGCGTCATCGCCTCCTCGCCGAGTCGGAATTGCGTTCGTGCTGAAAAGTCTCCGAGTTTCACGGAGGAAAGCCCGCTGAGAAAAAATGACCGTGTCGAAAATAAGAAGTCCATCGGCGGATCCGCGCGGAAGTACACTGGCGGCTTTCTTCGATCGGTGAATTACCGATTAGATCTCGGTGAGCTTTCATACAAACTCGAATTCTTGCATATCGTCGTGAGGACGCTACGAATTGACTTTACCTTTCTCAATTAGAACGCGATACAATTGATCATTGTTTATCATACCTCGCGCGGTTTCAAAGTCATCGGCCGTTTATCTTGGAAATAAGCGTTCTCCAAACATTTTCTCGAAAGCATCCTACGTCGCGTCCGGGACTTGTAAGGGTGCGCGATGATGGATTGAGGTTGAAAATCTTGAAGTGTTAAAAGCAAACTCGGGGTTAGGGCTGTGAGGTCACAGGACGGCGATACGAGCACCGCGCGCTCGCCGGTGTCTCCGGCTCGCATATAAAGCACGAGTGTCGTCGTCTTCGTCGTCTTGGCGAGGGTCTGCGCGTGCTCTCGTCGGTGAGATAACGAACAGTCTGTATTCTCGTTAGCAGCCGTGGCAGCCGTTAAGATAACAACGAGACACGACGCTCACCGCGAGCGACACTCCGCCGTGGAAAGAAGATTTAAGCTCGTCTTAGAACGGACGTAAGTTTCATAAATTAGTCCCCGGGAGGTGGGTGGGGCGGGGGGAGGGGAAAATGCGGCGGGCACCACCGGTGCAGATCGCGCGAGAGGGTATAATTCCGTTTTGATACGTAATTTAAGTTTGAGCTTTAACCACGTTCGAAACTTGCGATCGCCTCTCTCACGCCGTCCGTCTCTTTCCCTTCCGTTCGTAACGATGATAAATTTGGGGATTAATCGACTGACAGAATGGCTCGGTTTCGTCGAGGAGAATACGAGACACGCTCGGTAAGCGTGTGGCGGAAATGAAGAAGACTCCATTTCTCGGCGGAGAAATACAATCGCCTTTCCTAAAATCCGCGATACTGTGCTGTGTGAATTGTAATTTGATAAAGGTTCCCCGGAAGCGCAAATCTCCTTTCTAAATCTTCTATTTCCCGGGGGAAGCAAGAGGCAACGTTTAGATGTCTACAACGGGCGAGAAAGTTTCGCAAAATTGACGGGAACATATATTTTGTAAAGTCAAACAGCGAGATCGCTCTCATGGAGGCTCACGGGACGTAGTTCTGTTCGCGGATGTTATTCACGTGAGACACGAGGAACGATATTAATCTCGAGTAGCGCTGGAAGCGCCAGTTGAAAAAAAACAAATATTCCCGACGACGACGGCGAAATGACTCCTCGTTTCCTAAGATATTCGCGTGCTCCTTTCCCGAGCGTCGCCTCGCATCGCGTCTCTTCGTCATTACGAACGCGAACACGCGGAAAATGCAGATTTTCCGCGATTCCCCGTCCCCCCAACGTTGCAGCGAACACGGGCCTTCCGTAGCGGCAGTAACATTTCCACGGTTAGTGAACTCCGAATTGGTCGTCCCGACCGACCGACCGACCCCTCTCATCCCCCGCTCCGGTGAA